TAAGGATCATGAAACATTGTTTTTATATCAGCTTCCCTTGTGTTGTTGTTGTTAAAATATATTATTCCTCCTTCAACCATTATTGACACCACTTGTATTTGTATATAAAAGAAAATAGTGTTAGTTACACTATTTATAACTAAAGAATGGTTAACGGTTTATGAAAATTTGTGGAGATAGCTTACACCAAGATTCCACCGAAAAAAAAGGGATACAATCAAAATTCTTCTTATTTACTGCCTTTTAGGAGTAATACAGTTCCCCCGGTCAACTGAGGTCCTCCTATATTTCTAATTTTGAAAGTAACGCAGATGAAGTCGCGGGAAAAATCTAGTATTATACAATTTATTTAATTCAAATCTTATTTATTTATGCCTCATATATGTAATATTTGTTAAAATTATACTCAATTTTCAGTATTGTATCCACATTATAATATCTGTTTGGTAATATTCTTATTTAAGGTAAGTGTATCATTGATTTTCATTTCATATTTTTTCTCCCAATACTATTTTCAGATTGTTCGCTGAATTCGAACTATGTTACGTGAGTGCGATGCTAAATGTCAAGACTCCACACGAGTTTGAGGCCCAGCAGTTGATATGTGTCTTGATCACTGAGAGTCTAAGACGAGCTCTCAAACAGAGTCTGCTTACACAAGAACAGGTAATATGTCATAGACTTTACCAGCTAGTCTAGACTGAATAATATTTTCTAATACGATGTAGAAATTTTTTGAACAGATAGGAGTTTTTGTCTATTAGTCTAGCTATTATTATATTAGACTTAGTATGGGTATATTTACATTTAATTTATAAAATAGAAGTCAGATTTTTTTACAAACTTAATTCTTTGATTTTTTTAGTATAATAATATGTTAAAACAATATACTCATATTTCCAGGTGGATTCATATGACCCAGCGCTAATGTTCGCTGTTCCACGTCTCGCTATAGTTAGCGGTCTCTTGATATATTCTAGCGGACCTCTCAGTATAGACAAAAATCACCTGGTGAGTGTGTATGTGTGCTCTGTGTGTGTGTGTGTGTGTGTGTGTGTGTGTGTGTGTGTGTGTGTGTGTGTGTGTGTGTGTGTGTGTGTGTGTGTGTGTGTGTGTGTGTGTGTGTGTGTGTGTGTGTGTGTGTGTGTGTGTGTGTGTGTGTGTGTGTGTGTGTGTGTGTGTGTGTGTGTGTGTGTGTGTGTGTGTGTGTGTGTGTGTGTGTGTGTGTGTGTGTGTGTGTGTGTGTGTGTGTGTGTGTGTGTGTGTGTGTGTGTGTGTGTGTGTGTGTGTGTGTGTGTGTGTGTGTGTGTGTGTGTGTGTGTGTGTGTGTGTGTGTGTGTGTGTGTGTGTGTGTGTGTGTGTGTGTGTGTGTGTGTGTGTGTGTGTGTGTGTGTGTGTGTGTGTGTGTGTGTGTGTGTGTGTGTGTGTGTGTGTGTGTGTGTGTGTGTGTGTGTGTGTGTGTGTGTGTGTGTGTGTGTGTGTGTGTGTGTGTGTGTGTGTGTGTGTGTGTGTGTGTGTGTGTGTGTGTGTGTGTGTGTGTGTGTGTGTGTGTGTGTGTGTGTGTGTGTGTGTGTGTGTGTGTGTGTGTGTGTGTGTGTGTGTGTGTGTGTGTGTGTGTGTGTGTGTGTGTGTGTGTGTGTGTGTGTGTGTGTGTGTGTGTGTGTGTGTGTGTGTGTGTGTGTGTGTGTGTGTGTGTGTGTGTGTGTGTGTGTGTGTGTGTGTGTGTGTGTGTGTGTGTGTGTGTGTGTGTGTGTGTGTGTGTGTGTGTGTGTGTGTGTGTGTGTGTGTGTGTGTGTGTGTGTGTGTGTGTGTGTGTGTGTGTGTGTGTGTGTGTGTGTGTGTGTGTGTGTGTGTGTGTGTGTGTGTGTGTGTGTGTGTGTGTGTGTGTGTGTGTGTGTGTGTGTGTGTGTGTGTGTGTGTGTGTGTGTGTGTGTGTGTGTGTGTGTGTGTGTGTGTGTGTGTGTGTGTGTGTGTGTGTGTGTGTGTGTGTGTGTGTGTGTGTGTGTGTGTGTGTGTGTGTGTGTGTGTGTGTGTGTGTGTGTGTGTGTGTGTGTGTGTGTGTGTGTGTGTGTGTGTGTGTGTGTGTGTGTGTGTGTGTGTGTGTGTGTGTGTGTGTGTGTGTGTGTGTGTGTGTGTGTGTGTGTGTGTGTGTGTGTGTGTGTGTGTGTGTGTGTGTGTGTGTGTGTGTGTGTGTGTGTGTGTGTGTGTGTGTGTGTGTGTGTGTGTGTGTGTGTGTGTGTGTGTGTGTGTGTGTGTGTGTGTGTGTGTGTGTGTGTGTGTGTGTGTGTGTGTGTGTGTGTGTGTGTGTGTGTGTGTGTGTGTGTGTGTGTGTGTGTGTGTGTGTGTGTGTGTGTGTGTGTGTGTGTGTGTGTGTGTGTGTGTGTGTGTGTGTGTGTGTGTGTGTGTGTGTGTGTGTGTGTGTGTGTGTGTGTGTGTGTGTGTGTGTGTGTGTGTGTGTGTGTGTGTGTGTGTGTGTGTGTGTGTGTGTGTGTGTGTGTGTGTGTGTGTGTGTGTGTGTGTGTGTGTGTGTGTGGTTTAATGAATTCACTGCAGATGTTTTTGGTTATGGTTATCTTTGTATGTACATTTACAATACGAGTCACTGTATGTATTCATATTTATTTAAAAATAAACGGCCGTAGATGATCTTTTATTTATTTGGTATTAGGTAAAGTAATATATGCTTTGTGTTTATATTATATTTAAGCACTTGTGATCGCTTCTATTTTATGTATCGTTTATGTATATAATCATGTGTATGTGTCATGTTCAATACATTTGTTAAATATTATGTTATATAAATAACATATTAAACAAGTGTGTATGTATATCTTTACAGAAGAAATGTCCGGCATGTTCCGTCCCTTTCGCACCCTTCTTCATAAAATTCGTTCTCTCCTCTGGACATTGGATCGACGGGAACTACTCGTACTTGAACGATTGTTATGTACTAACGAAGACGTTTCCAGTCTCGCCGGGCTTGATATGCCCGGTAGTTCCTTAAGTCCTATACAATGTAATAAATATTGTAAACAAGCTTTCTAAATTACAAACAGCCCAAAATGTTAATACATATATTTGCATTTCTCTATGGTCTGTTTGTTAAGAGTGCTGTCCTTAAAGTTACAGTATTGGAAGTTAGTTTACATTTAATATCATGTTTCTGTATATAATAGTTGAAACTAATTGAGCCTTTATATTTCGATTTTCTTGGGTTTGTGGTTGTTAGTAATAATGTTTTATTTATATTCTAGCTGATGGTTCAACGGCTGATTCATGTTATCCTGATATTGGCGAGTTCGTGTCTAAATTCTACGCGGATAACGTGCATTGCCGGGATCTATACACCCAGAGGTAATATATTGAACTGTATATAATACACGTCAAGTTATATATTCATATATATACAGTGGACCCCCGGTAATCCGGCCCCTGTAATCAAACATGATCTATTATTTATTATTGAATACATATTTTGTATTCGCTAATGCATGATTGAATAAATTACAACTTGTACGCACCATCACTATTGTGCTCGACGCGTAGGGTATTGTTTTGATTCTGATTGCTTAGTTGGAATTTGAATTTGTACCTCAGAGTACATATAAGTACATATCGTTATATATATAAAAAGCTTTTGCCGCGACTTCGTCCGCGTGAAATAGTGACTTCCGGCAGATTTTTGGTTCTTCCCACATAGTTCCCGTTCTTGCGGGTTTTTCGGAATGGTCGAGTTCTCGTAGAATTTACAGGATGAAACCTGTTTTTTTTTTATTAATAATGAAGTACTCTTAACCAACAACACATTTATTTGTTTATATGAATAAGGATTAATATTATTATTTTGATACAACTTAAACAAATTATTACGACAAAATTCGACAAAATTTAGCTACCATAAAAACGGTTGTTATGAGTTAATCTTAAAAGATAGACATATACTGTCGCGGACTGTTTTTTAGATCATCAAAAGAGCTATTATTCTTTAATACATATTTTTTTGTGTATCTTGAACCGCTTTCACTTCGCACGCAACGGAAAGGTTCAAAGATGAAATAATTTCTCCCGATTTTTACACATTTACCACTATATCTTTGCTCCTACTGGTCGTAGCGTGATGTTATATAGCTCACAGCCTTCCTCGATAACTGGACTATCCAACACAAAAAGAATTATTCAATTCGAACCAGTAGTTTCGGAGATTAGCGCTTTCAAACAAACAAACAAACTCTTCAGCTTTATAATATTAGTATACATTCTTCTGTGAGTGTGTATGTCACTGAACTTCTGTCAAATGGAGGGACCGATTTTGATGAAATTTTTTGTGTGTGTTCTAAGGGGATCTGGGAATGGTTTAGATTCATAATTTTGTCCGCTGGACAAAGTTTTTTAATTAATTTTTAATTTATTAGTAGTTGTTGATACAAATGTTTATTTTGAAAACTAACTTAAATATGTCAATCATTCTGTCGCACTTCAAAACACGGAGATTTATGGCTTTAATAGGTAAACTCCAAAAATTTTAATAAGAAACGTAACAGATATTTCTTGATTATAGGGCGATACGAAGTTCGCCGGGTCTTCCAGTATATATAATACAAGCTGTGTCTTGAAAATATCCTAAATTGTGGACTATTCTTTAACAACAACTGAAAATGTGACGACTCGGGAATCAAACCCGGTCCCCGAAACAAAGTATGTTCAACATATAATATGATAATCATGTGTACCTGGACGAGGCAGTCAACGGTTCCCTTGTAGATCTTAACTTGGGAGTTTGAACTGGCATTTTTCACTTTCCGTTGGTTCATAAGCCGAGTCTGGAATAATTTATAAATAATATTACATATATTTTAAGCAGTAAGAAAAGTTTTATTGATAGTCTATTAAAACGAAAACCTAAAATGGAAATAACATCCATAGCTACTGTATAAAAAATGCCTATAAAGACACCTTCACACAATCCAAAAGGCAACTCAATTACTTTTTTTTTTGCTTGGTTAGTCCCTAGTTATTTGCAAGTCAGGTATTACCCTTATGACGTCCAGCGGCGTGCTGGCGACGGCGCTGCCAAGACTGGCCAGTGCGCTGGAGGCGAGGTGGTTGAGAGGCGAGTCCCCGAGCGCGGGCGTGAGGCGTCTCTTACAGCCGTCATACACGGGCAGCTCCACCGCCGCGATGAGGGCCGCGCGCTGGGACGTGGGCCCCACGCCGCGCCACAACCCGCGCACACCCTCCACACGGTACATCTCCATGAAACACCGGACCAGGTGACGCTTTTCATCGCCCACCTACACCAATGAAAGGACTAGATTCATTAAAGGATCTACAAAACTACAAAGCAGCAAAGGATTTGGTAGTTTACACAATACCAAGTTTTTAAAATTCTTTTTTGTTCCTTACTTCTTCCATTTAGTCCATCAGCTAGCACGCTGGCCTCACATTTAAAAGCAACTATCGAGTGATATACAATACGAGCTACATATCAGGTACATGACCATAACTCTACTCACCTGCATCCGTACTTTAAGTACATCAGTAGGGTTGGCGATCGCACTAGACAGCCCCCCGGCCAGCGCTGCACACAGCGTGTCTGTGGTGACACTCTCCCCCCCTCCGCCGCCGCCGTCCCCTCCTCCCCCTGCCCGTCTGTTCGCGAACCACTTCTTCAAGGAGTAGTAGGTACCAAACTTGATGGTACCATATGTCGCCTGTCGAAGAACCGCTGGCCAGATACTGTGGATCGTGAACGTGACACATGCGTCATTAACAACTGATGGATGGTTCCAGTTGTTTGTTATACATTTGTATCTCATTAATACTGATTCCAAATATATAATTAAACTTCTATTAATTGAAGTGAAACTCATAGTGCGGCCAAGAATCTTCGTCAACATGAAATTATACATAGTCATAAATCAATATTTTTTTAATATACAGCTAAGTGCTAGTATCCCATATATTATATAGCTTTTACCGCGGCTTCGTCCGCGTGGAATAGTTACTTCCGACAGATTTTTGGTTTTTCCCACATAGTTCCCGTTCTTGCGGGGTTTTCGGAATGGTCGAGTTCCCGTAGAATTTTCAGGATGAAACCTATGTTTTTTTTATTAATAATGAAGTACTCTTAACCAACAACATATTTATTTGTTTATATGAATAAAGATTAATATTATTATTTTGATAAAACTTAATCAAATTATTTCGACAAAATTAGGTACCATAAAAAGGGTTTCTGTGAGTCAATCTTAAAAGATAAACATATACTGTCGCGGACTGTTTTTTAGATCATTAAGAGAGCTATTATTCTTTGATACATATTTTTTGTGTATCTTGAACCGTTTTCACGGCGCACGCAACGGAAGGCTTCAAAGATGAAATAATTTCTCCCGTTTTTTACACATTTACCACTATATCTTTGCTCCTATTGGTCGTAGCATGATGTTATATAGCCTACAGCCTTCCTCGATAACTGGACTATCCAACACAAAAAGAATTATTAAATTCGAACCAGTAGTTTCGGAGATTAGTGCTTTCAAACAAACAAACAAACAAACAAACTCTTCAGCTTTATAATATTAGTATAGATGTAAACAATCTTATCATTGAATCTGTAATTTGTCGGATTACAAGGTACTCTTTTGTAAGAATAATCCGGACTATAGGGGGTCTTAGGCAGTACTCTATAATCCGACGAATTCGATAGTTCGACCCTGCCCTGCAAAATGTTTGTCGGACTACCGGGGGTCCACTGAATATATAAACTAATAGAGGCACTATGAGTTCAAGACTTTTTTTTACTATATGATTAATATAGTTCATAAAAATTTGTCCTTGCCTTATTTTCGTACTTATTTTTTTGTCTTAAATTTCAGTTCAAGCGAGCATTTGATAACAGACGCCGATTACCTTCCCGACAACAGAGAGGTCATGACTCCGATCATTGAAGGACTGAAACGTCTCACAGAGCACATTTATGAATCTGAACGAGAATCCATCGATATCGACAATAAACTTACAGATAAGGACAGCACTAGCACTGATACTTTCCAATCGACCGAGAGCAAGGAATTTGATAAAATGCGGAAGATAAGTAGGGCGGAAAGTGATTTATCGTCGCTGAGAAATCTATCGACAAATGGTTTAATGATGTTCGATCCGTTGGTTATAAATGCGGTGTCAGCATTGACATCAGATCGACAAATCCCGGACCAAGATTCAGTCACATCTCTAAACGAGCAAGTCACTGAAGTAGCGGATAGATTATCATCGATAGTTAGTGGTGTGGATGTACACGAGCACCAAATACATTCGTTCTCAACAAACGATGTCCCATCTCTGATATCGAATGAAAATTCTGAAGATTTCGGGTTTAGTGGTCCAAGGAATGAACAATTAAGTTGTATGCCATCTACTATCCATGGTTATTTGATACCAAACGCTATAAGTCAAGAGCCCGTAGTACTAGCGTCGCTATCACACAATAACTCCCTGTGTTCAACCAAGACGAGAACGATGATATTAACGGTGCAATACTGAATACTGATCTCCCATTAATACTTACCGATAATATTGACGCTGATATTGTAAATACTAATATATCAATAGCTAACGTGAATCTTAGTTCACTGTTGTTGACGGACGAGGAATTCAGACAGAAGTTTATAGAAAACGAAAATGATGGTGGTAATACAAGCTTCCATTCAGCAAAAATGACGATGGATAAAGACGAAAGGGTGAAATACATGCTCGGCTACGATAGTGATCACGAATCACCTGTAGATTCAGGTGTTAGTACTGAAATACAAGCTTAGATAGATCACCCGATACGGACCAGAATAAAGATATCAAATAAACTATTTCATGCAACAGATCAGGCTATTAAAAAGTCCGACAGACGAGCGGATACAGAAAGAAAACGTTCTAGAAAGATCCTTCTCCGATGTAAGAGATGATGTAAATATAAATTACGTCGAAGATGACTCACAGAAGAATGGAGCGTCGTCTAGTGTTATAGATAGGTTGAGCGACGACGGACTAAACGAAGCTACTAGTGTTAATGTACAGAATTGGAACACACATGAACCGCAAGAAGATATAAGGACCATAGAGGATGTTATAACAGGACTAAGAAGACAGAGAGAAGCTGATAAGAAGAACACGTTAGAAGGAACCGACGAACCGAACTGTTCAACAAGCACGAGACGGAAAAGAAAAGAATCATCGTTATACTCGATAAAAGATCTAACCAAAACCAAAGTCCTTTAACATTGAACCTGAACCACTTTGTCGAGAAGTAAGTTTAGATATACATTTTATTCTTGTATTCAATACTAAACAGTTATGCTTGTGGAATATCGAAAGGAATTAATGCTTTTATACAGCGAAGTCTTATTAGTCATCTATTGTTGTTTAAATTTATGTTATTTATGAGTTATTCAACCGTTAATTAAAGCTTAGAGAAAATACATGTGAATATTATTAAAATTGTAAGAAATATTGTCATCCACTTTAATATTGACTTGTTATATGAACTCATTTGTTTGATCTTCTCTCTCTCTCTCTTTCATCATCCGTCTCGTTCTATTTCATTATTTTGTTGATCTTCCCTCTCTCTCTCTCTCTCTCTCCAGTACATCTTGCAGTACGTCCGAGTGCGCTGACGACGAGCAGATCGCCCTCGCGCTTCAAGCACAGGAACCAGCAGCAAGAAGACGGGCCAGGGATAAGTTCAAGTTAGTATTAGTTCATACACACATACAAATACATATACACATATACATTAATACACAAAACGTACCGAAATGTTTTCACAAGCCATTACTATACTTGGATATATTACATCAACATGCTTTTATATGTTGTCAAATATTATTTTTGTGACATATGACCATGGATAAAGATATAGTAAATTGTGGATGTGGGGGGCCAATAGCAAAATTTTTACAAATAATAACGTTAAACATGATCATTAAACATGGCAAACAAAATAAAATACATATATGTTTGAAGTGTGACAAGTAGGTAACTAAGAATGTTCGTATTGACTATTATACTAAGGATTTTCTAATATAAGGATACATACACATACACATTTATCTCATAATCCTCTTACCATAGGTGTTCATTCATTCATTCACATATACAGTATACAACTCCTACAAATTGAAATAACACAAAAAATATATGTGTAGGTATATATTTGTGAAATATATAAGCATGTAATTTTAATACATCCAAGTATATTATTGCTTGTGAAAATATTAAGTATTTGTGAGTTAATAATATTTTTTTATAATATTTCTGAAAATATCAGTGAAAATGTGAGGCTAGGGCTTGAGTTTAGACTTTAGAGTTTGAACATGTATAGTCCGTTAGACGAGCTTTGCATTTGTGTGAGCGAAAGTAAAAGTAGAGTTAGACAAAAAACTTTTAGAATTAAAGTTTATTATATATTAAAATAGATACATAACATAAGTGCTATAAAATAAACAAAACTTGTAAAAGTCCAGATGGAAATATTTTGAATATTATGGAAAAAAAATATTGATTAATAAGAGTTTTGAAAAAACTACAAATTCTTATTCACTTGACATTACGTTTTCAACATTTGATATTGCTACCAGTACAAAAGGTGAAGTGAGGAAGGTGCGGGGCGAAGTAAAAGCAGAATAAACCGTTTAAAACTAGAAAATAACGTTTCATTCAAAAATTTGACATCGCACCTACACTATCCGTGTGCATTCACACAAATCAAAGCTCAGCTTAAATCAAACGCACAATACCAACCCTTATATAAGTTTCTATTACATTTATAAGCCATCAAAATGATATTAATGACGTAACACAGTTGATATTTATCTAATATATGTTTAAATATAATTTCCAGGTCATCCGAGGATCTCATACATCGTCTGTTCGTATGTATAGCCGGGGTCGCTGACCAGTTGCAGACTAACTTCGCAGCTGATCTACGTAATATATTGAAGGCTGTCTTCCTCATGAACCAAACGACGGAAGTACCGGAGAGCATAGAATATCAGGCTGGCGAGGATCAGGTCATACAGAACGGTACGCTAACACTAGTTTTTACCCTCGACTTGGTTCGTAAAGACTTTAGAATTGTGTCATAACTATAATATGTATGTTTATTAGTCAACATCGACATCTATCAAATGTGTCACGCGATTTCATACGAAGTATTATGTTATGTTGTTATATAGAGAAAATTATATTCGTTTTGGGATGAATTATAGGCTATATCTTATTCTGATGACAAAGCTTACAACACTGCAATAATTCATCGAAATCCGTTAAATATTTTATGCATTATAGAGCAACAAACATATCAACATATATAAAGTATTAAATCCAATGTTATTATTAATCCTATATTACAGGAAGTTCGTTCGCCAGCGTTTATTCGGCCGAGGAGGTGTCCGCGGACAGTAACTCCGACTCTACTTCAGAGCCATCTAGAGTCGCGCGACGTAACACACTCAACTCTACTATGAACGAGCCCAATGTTAGCGATACACGTAAATCAGCTGATACTATGCAAGCCTCTGTGTCAACGGGAGATCTAACATATAGGTTTGCGGACTACTGGTTTTTAATCGACTTGAAATAAAATGTGTTGTGTGTTTTACATATATTTGTGTGTATTCAATTAGGTTCATATATAGATGCAGTTTATAAGTATCTGAGAAGGTCATTGATTTAGTTTTGAATATGTGTCAAGTTAAACTGAAATGATAAAATTTTATGATTTCTTACATAAATGCGTAATTTTTATTAATTATTGTATAGTAGGTAT